CTCAAGCCTTGTGCTAACTTGTTGAAGCTAATGTCTTACAGGATACAGGCCTGTAGGTGTCTTCCGTTACTGCTGAATATAATGCAAAGCAGTAAATATAATAAAGGCAAGCTAGCCCACTGGGCTACAGTAGCAGTGAATATAACAAAGGCAAACTAGCCAACTGGGCTACAGCCTTACTTCACTTTACAAGGGAAAATCACAGCAGATATTTTGGAAGGGATTATGCTGCTTTATTGCTTTGAAATATACAGTGGCTTGTAGGAAAAATGTCTTGGCTTTTTTAGTATTAAATTTGACTTCAATCTGTAAATTCAGTTTCTAAACTTGGGGGAAAAATATAGTAGGCAAGTAAGATTACCTTATACCTTTTTCTACTCAGATAATCTCATTTAAATAAGGACACACTTGCTACACAGTCAAATAACTTAGTTTTCTGAAACCGTTTAAAAGTAAGAAACCATGTAAGAGTTCTTTGTTATCCGTATACTCTGCACTTAGAGCTTAATTTAATATTTGAACTCATATGATCTATGATAGAATATTCTCTCACTCTTGCATTGTACTTTTTTTTCACTGCCCCCCGTTAGCCTTCTGTGCTGCCCAAGGTATGTCTTTGCATCTCTCAAAGCTGTCATGGAAGTTTGTTCAACTGTTAACCTTCACATCCTTCCACCCATACACAAACAAAAATCTTGACATGCTAAAAGTAATTGGAAATAGAGAATTAAAAAATAAAACCCAAATCAACATGGAAATCATTGCTTCCATGACAACCATGGCAAAATGCCAACCTTTCTAACAAAAGAAATGTCTTTCCCTAAGAATTGATGCAAATTGAAATGCGATCGAAATAATGGTTAAAAACAAACACATGCTTATCTGGTGAATAACTTACCCCAAAGACAACAGATACATTAGCAATAAAGTATTTAAAATAATTTACTTCCCCCACCCCACGGTTAAAAGTTGGATCAAAGGCCAGATTTTTATAGGTACCTAGGGGCCAGGTTTGTAAAGGTATTTAGCCACTTAGCTCCCACTAATTTCAATAACAGGTGCCTAAATATATTTTAAAACCTGGGCCGAATCCCTGGCACATGGGGGTTTATCCCCTGTCCAGAACACACAAGGAGGTTGTGGGTTTTTTGGTTTGTTTAGTGTTTACCATTGCAACTCTGGATTTTCTTGTTATCCATATAAATGTTTAATCCCTCTGTAAATCATGCTGAGCTCATGACACAATGATATATCATGCCAATGAGTCCCACAGGCTAACTGCATCGTGTGGAAAAGTATTTGCTTTACCAGTTTTGAATTTTCCACACTTCAGTTTCACTGAGGAGGGAGGATGGTCCAGTGGATAGGGCATTAGCATGGACTTGGGAGACCTAAGTTCAGTTCCCTGCTCCACCACAGACTTCCTGTGTGACCTTGGGCAAATCACTTAGTCTCTGTGCCTCCGTTCCTGACCTGTACAATGTGGATAATAGCACTTCCCTAGCTCACAGGGGTATTTGGGGGATAAGATTTTGAGATGCTCAGATACTGTGGTGTTAGGGGGCCATGTAAGTACCCTAGATAGATATAGACTGTCCTCTTGTTCTTGAATTAATAGACAAGACAGACAAAGGGCAGGAGGAAAAGGAGAGAGAAACAAATGACTTGACCAAGATCACACAGCCAGTCAGTGGCACAACTGGGAATAGAACCCTGGTCTCTTGACTTCCAGACCAGTGTCCTGTCCCTTAGAGCATGCTAATAACTATAACACATTCATTGGTATGCAGTAAACAGTGCCATATTTTGTAAAACTGTCATATGTTTATGACTGATTTTTATGGCTGTGTTTGCAATTAACAGGGCAGCAGTAAAAGCAACATGCCAATGTATATAATGCAGATGGGTATGCAGATAGCTGATTATTAATCACCAAAATGTAGCATTCCAAAGGAAAATAATAAAAAGGGATGTATGCTGAGGTAAGTGAACACTCTTTCTCAATCATTTTACTTGAGTCTCCCTAAAGGTGATCTCCATATGACTGCATAAAACACTCGTGCAAATTGATATCCCCTGGAATAATTTTTTATATAGAAAGCACCTTTAAAAAAAAAAAAAAAGTATTGTACGAAAGTTTGCGTTCACATTCATCCTGGTTCATTTGTTTTTCTTTGAATGGCATATTCAAGTCTTGTTTACGAGAATCGCTGGTTAGTTCTCCTCCCTCTTACCCTGGTGTAAATCAAGAACTGGAGTGATGTGAAGAAGTTATCACAGCGTGAGTGAGAGAAAAGCAAGCCCTGGAGATGCATACTGCTGCAGGTGTTTATGCCATTGCTAGAAGTCAAGGTTGCTAAATAACCTCTACATCTTGTCCAACACTGAATCACCTGAACTGCTCCTCCTGCTCATTTCTGACTATGCTGCTGAGAGCAAGGTTGAATTGAGCAAATGGATCCCGAATGCATTGATTTCTGCAAGTCACGGTGCACTCTAATACAGCCAAAACCACAGTAAATTGTCATGTCTTTAATTCTTTTCTAAACACACTTTGCAAATAATTCCAGCCAATATTTTCCGCACCAAATTGTTCAAAGGTTGCCGGGAAACTCATAGCAAGCATAGCTGGATCTGATTACACTGAACAGCCCTCAAATTAACACTTGAAGACGGGCCAGCATCTCGCTAGGTTATATCAGTGTGGGGGCTATTCAGTTCTGTGTTTCATTGACAGATGGTCTGGACACTGGTAATGTGCTGTTACTAATCAGCAAACTATTTTCTGAATTAAAAATTATAGGGAAAATCCACCAAAGCTCATACTAAATTATAAAGGGCATGAAAAATGGTTGTGTTAACGGCATTCTCTTTGTTCTTTAATGGCACATTAAATTATATGGGGAATTAAGGGTTGGCAGTTAAGCCTAGTGGTTAGATCAGAGACCGGGGTGAAGATACCTGGTTTCTATTCTTAGTCCCACCACAGTGTTCCTGGTGATCTTGGCCAAGTCACTTAACGATTGTGCCTCATTGCCTTTATTTGTAAAATGGGGAAGAGGATGCTACTTTTGTATTGTGCTTCGAGCTCTTCCATTGAAAGTAAAAGTATGTAAAAGCAAAGTATTATTACTCCTGGTGAGTAACAGAGAGATACTCTTTTGTTTTGCAAAACAGTAATGAGAGAGAATTATGTGCATCTATTTTGGTAGATAAGATGCACTTTCTTCATGCTGAAATATTCATATCTAGGGCTACCTGTCCCTTCAAGTGACTGAAGAAACTGAGATTGTGGAGTTCTGTGTTTACTATCTTAATGATTTCATATCAGACTTTCTCAGTTTGCAAGTCATAAGAGGATAGTTTGAAAACTGCTGGCACAGGCATTTAAAATTAAACTTGGTCTTCCATTCTGCATATTGAATCTAACTTTGTTTGGCCAAGGGTTAAGGATTGGGCTAGTAGGTGGCCCTGGTCTGGGGCTAGGGATGGAGCTGATAGGGCTCCTCGAGCTAGGGCTAGAATTGGGGCCAGAAGGAGGCCCCGAGGTAGGGTTGGGGCTGTTCCTTGGCCTTGGGTGGGATTAGGTTTTATGCTGATTACAAACTGGGCTAGGATTAGGGATAAGGCTGGATGATGGCTGTAGGCTAAAGTTAGGTCTGTGGTGCAAAAGAGGTCCTGGGGTATGATTAGGATTGGGATTGAGGATTAGAGTTAGGGTTGGGGCTGGTTGGCGGTTTCAGGCCTGGGTTAGGCTTGGGGTGTCAGGTGATGATCCTGAGCAAGAGTTATATTTGGGATCTGTTGGTGGTCCTGGGTTAGTTTTAGGATGGGGAGGGTCACATGATGTCCCTGGGCTAGGGTTCTGTTTGATGCTAGTTTCCACTCCACTGCAATAATGCAGTTGACTCAGTGTGGACACGGGTTTACCCAAGTGGAACACATTGCAAGGTTTGTGTTTGCTTTTGTTAATTACTCCTAACAGCCAACTTCTAAGAAATCTAGTTTTTTATCTTATTTATCAACCAAGCCCTCACGCCCTATGGCTCACTTTATTCTTTTTCCTCCTCTAACCTGTTTTGAGTTTGAAACACTAAATGTTCTATGGAATTGCTATCCCCCCTTGTATGTTTTTTCATTGGATATCTATATCTGCTCTCTCTGGGTGCCTTTATCTCTGAACCTCTTCTACTCTAGTTTGTTGTGATGTATCTTCCAGATATCTCTGAAACAGACAATTCCTCAAAGGAACTTCTGAATCTTCTCTACACCTTACCTATAGCTCTGCTTACTGTACAGCTAAGTGCCTTACACCCTTTCTCCACATGCACCTGCCTTTCCTCAGCATTCATAATATCAAGCAGACTGTTTCCCATTTGACTGGATCACATATGGCGTAACTCAGGCTTTTGCCTTGAGAAGAACATCCTGTAATAAAGATCACTGCCACATGAGGTCATTGGGACTGGTACAAAAAGCCAGGACAGTTTTATAACCGCTAATAATATATTAAGAGCTATGGAAGTTGAAACTAAGGTCAATCAAATCTCATGCCTCAAGGGATAGCTTGATTGCCTATGGGAGCGAGGGAGGGAGTTTTTCCACCCATCTGCAGTATTGTGTAGGTGCAGTGTGAGTGGATGCTTTTTGCCTTTCGTTGCAACATCAAGTACTGGTTACTGCCAGAGTCAAGGTACCAGACTAGATGGACCAGTGACTGAATCAGAAGTGGCAAAAAGTTTTACGAAGTATCTTCAGGCAAATCACTTTATTCTAGTATCATAAGGGAAATATTGCAAGGTTATATAGGATTTGTACCTCCTATGTACCACACAGCGTCCAAGATAGGAACACTATATAGTAGAGGCTTGATTCGCTGCTTGAAGGGTACAACGAATGAAAACACATGCAAAAGGAATTTGCTTTTAGTAAGCTGTGCTTCTCAGCCTCGCAGCTCATACTGGAAACAGCTTCTCTTTGCTGCATCAAATTCACTGATGTGCAGAACAGATTAATTATTAATCATGCCCCTATTTTATGCGTGTCATTACCAGAGCTTAGAGAAAAGAAAAGGAAATCAGGCAGGGTTGAACTGGAAACGGGAATGCACCTTTGTTACTCAGCTGTAATCATCACTGAATAGAACAGAAGTTTCTCAGTCTGAAGAACCCAGAAGCAGGTAATAACGCTGGGGTTAGGGTTTTATATTTCAGTGATGTGATTTTTTTATTTTTTTTCAGAATAAGGTTAAAAATCAGTCCAGAGCTAGAACTGTACAAGTAACAGAGGCACATTGGTGTCGTGGCACCGAAGCACTTTTAATTGTTTTCTTCTGTTTCTCTTCATTTATGCAGCAGTGTCAATGAACAGGGCCACGCAAAAAAAATGATTAGCTACAACAGCAACATAATTACCAGTCGGAGAGATTTCTGGGATGAAAAAAAAGCAGGAAAACCATGTACTGAAAATATAGTGGGCTTGATTCCCCTCTTCCTTGCAACATGGATAGTAGTAGTAATAGCTGGGCAAATCTTGGTGCAAAAGACTCCCAGATGAGATAGTGTGTTTGTCTGTGGAAGGCACAGTCAAGCCATGGAGAGGAACAAGAGCCCACATTCAGTGTCTGTCTGAGAGATGGAAGCAATATCTGCTTTTCCAAGGTAATCATCTTTAGGATAAGATTGTAACTCCCCCTGAGTCCTGCTCAGGAGAGTAAAAGGGCAGAAGGAACCCGCTTATTTCCCTTATCTGGCTACCATATTGTGGGTAGCATCTGCAAGGCCGCTACTCCCCCTCCTGTGTACATGGGCAGGTAGTGGACGAGTGACAAGATCAGGAATTAGGCAGATCCTTGAATCAATCTTCTTTTTTTCTTTGCCTCCTCCCCTCTGCCATTCACTGTCCACCACAGCTGAGCTGGCATGGAGGGGGAAGTAATCAGCACCAGAGGTAGGGCTGGTGAAGCTTATTTTCTTGATCTCACAGAGCAAGTGGAAAGGGGCAGGCAAGAACAGGTTGTGGCTCTTACTCAATAAATGGTTCCTGGTCTGTTCCTGGGCAAACACAACTATGCACTTCCCCTTATTCGGGACTTGTGGCAAAGCCATAATTGAGCCCCCAAATTGTTTGGTCACCGCAGAGCAGCTGTGCAGTTTAAATAAGTGACAGAACATTTTTTCTCTTACAAAATTATATATTTATTCTGGTCTCTGTGTAATAGAGAGGAGCTAGGACTGAAATACTAAATGAGACTGGAAGGTCAAATGCTACCTAACCTATCTCCAGACTCCTAAAAACCCAACTGTGGAGGTCTACAAAGTTTATCAGCACAGTATAGGAAAGCACCAGTGTTGGGATGACATTTGATCCTTAGTATCTACAGATGATATGTTGTTATACTCGCGACAGAAAGTACAATACATAACTGATGGTACATGACTGAGCATATAACAAGATAATCCAGAGTGCAATTCACAAGTCTGCTTCTTTACTCTTGAGTTAATGAGTAAATAGGCCAGCATTTCTTCTAAAGGCGCATTCATTATAATTCTAATTACTAATATGTAGAAGCTTGATTTGCATATTAAAGGACGAAACACTCTTATCTGAGATGTGCTAGCATACTTGCTTAGGAAAAAATAAAAGCAAATATATTTTCCCCAACAATTAGTGTTTTGTTCTAACCTTTTAAAAATGTTTTTAGAGTATCAAATAGCTGACTGTGTATTTTTTGTTATCAGAATAGATCGCATTTTAAATTAAAGGGTTTTTAAGCATTTCTTTAGATCCAGCAAGTTGTTCTGATGATGCAAATCTTTTCAGTGGATATGTCAAAACAAACCAAAAAGAACACATTGATTTTTATTATTTCTTAGATTGTAGCCATACAGGGGCTGAAATCTTGTCATCTTGTATGTCTGTAAAGTATTGAGAACATTTTGATACTTCATAAATAATTAATAGTAAGAGTGTTTATAGAAAGCATATTACAGTAATAATCCTTCTCATTCATTTGCTTTATGTGATCAAAAGTGTTTTACAAACATTAATATATAGAGTAAATTTGAATCAGTAAAATTATATCCAGGCAAGTTTATAAAATAGCCTACAGTGGAAAATCAGAGTAGCAGAATGACTATACAAACATATCCTGCAGATTTCATTGTAAGAATGACAGCCGCAAAATATGGATATTAGCTGTGTTAAACCGGATTCAACAACATTCTGACTTTCAATGGTAAATAATTAAAATCTGATACAATAAATAACAGTTGTAGAACCATAGGTGTTTAATTTGTGTCAAAGCACAAAGAGACTGTTTTAACATATGTTGAAACAAGTCGTATTTGTAATTCTAACATTTTAGTTGCTATTTTAAAACAAATGTGTTGCAGAAATCCCTCGAATCCAAGTGCAAGTAACAGACAGTCGAGAGGAAAGGACTGCAGACTCAGGTGTTGAAAGAATTGCCATTCAGGAAAGCAAGTTCTTCACATTTTTAGCTCTTTGAAGCAGGGGAGATTGTCTGTTTGTACAGCACCTAGCACAATGGCATCCTGGTGTGTGTCTGGGATGCCTGAGTGCCACCGCAATACGAATAAGTGTTAATTTGCGTTAAGTTAATTACATACGTGATTGCTTTCCTGAATTGGGCCTCACACAGTTGACCTTATGATTTAAAACAAAACACACCAAAACTCCAGGCTGTTACATCTCTGCCGTCTCAGATCATAATGGACTTCAGCTAAGACCCTGAGCTTTTGGCGTTACCATGGGAGGTGGCAGAACAATAATGCACGCAACTCTACAGCGAGCATGTATATATTGTATACTGCCTTTAGAAGGCAAACAACAAAAATGAATCTATTACATCCATTATAATCCTGTACTGGCCTCTTGTGCAAGGTACAGTGATGTTATGTGGTCATAGTTCTAATGTAATTTCATTTAAAACCACCTACCACCAGTGCTTTCCCTCCATTGACTATAACGTTACTGACTATTTAGGGTTTTAACAGTTTAAAATGTTGAGCAAGTGATCTTTCCAATGATCTCCATCAAAATAGTCCACTGGGTAACTGCAAAAATATAAACGATTCTGCTCGTTCCAGTCCCCCCGTGTTGGGAGGCCACTTTGCTAAAGTTTTGTGGCTTTTGCCAAAAGAGCCAGGCCAGTTTACTTTGGCCATGATACTCGGAAAAATTGCCGAATATTAACATTAGAAATTAATTGTGTATGTGGGGCTGAGCATACGTTTTATCAATTAAGAATGTCTCTAAAGAAAACAGAGCTCCCAAATATGCATGCTTGTAGTGGTGCGTTTTCTGTTAATGTGGACAGCAAACACTACAGATCTCACCAGCCCACTCAACATCCATCAGATGGCCATAATTTTTTTGCTGCTACTGCAAAGGGTGTGTGTCTACACTGTAATGAAAAACCTGTGGCAGCGAGTCTCAGATTCTGGGTCAACTGACTCAGACTTACGCTGCAGGGCTAAAAATAGCAGTGTAGCCATCCAGGTTGGAGCTGGAGCCTGTGCTCTGAAACCCGGCGAGAGGAGAGGGTCTTGGAGCCTGTCAAGGTTCCTCCCCCACTCTGAACTCTAGGGTACAGATGTGGGGACCTGCATGAAAAACCTCCTAAGCTTATCTTTACCAGCTTAGGTCCAAACTTCCCCAAGGTACAAAATATTCCACCCTTTGTCCTTGGATTGGCCGCTACCACCACCAAACTAATACTGGTTACTGGGGAAGAGCTGTTTGGACGCGTCTTTCCCCCCAAAATACTTCCCAAAACCTTGCACCCCACTTCGTGGACAAGGTTTGGTAAAAAACCTCACCAATTTGCCTAGGTGACTACAGACCCAGACCCTTGGATCTTAAGAACAATGAACAATCCTCCCAACACTTGCACCCCCCCTTTTCTGGGAAATGTTGGATAAAAAGCCTCACCAATTTGCATAGGTGACCACAGACCCAAACCCTTGGATCTGAGAACAATAAAAAAGCATTCAGTTTTCTTACAAGGAGACTTTTAATAAAAAATAGTAGTAAATAGAAATAAAGAAATCCCTTCTGTAAAATCAGGATGGTAGATACCTTACAGGGTAATTAGATTCAAAAACATAGAGAACCCCTCTAGGCAAAACCTTAAGTTACACAAAAGATGCACAGACAGAAATAGTTATTCTATTCAGCACAGTTCTTTTCTCAGCCATTTAAAGAAATCATAATCTAACACGTACCTAGCTAGATTACTTACTAAAAGTTCTAAGACTCCATTCCTGGTCTATCCCCGGTAAAGACCAGCATATAGACAGACACACAGACCCTTTGTTTCTCTCCCTCCTCCCAGCTTTTGAAAGTATCTTGTCTCCTCATTGGTCATTTTGGTCAGGTGCCAGCGAGGTTACCTTTAGCTTCTTAACCCTTTACAGGAGAGAGGAGCTTTCCCCTGGCCAGGAGGGATTTCAAAGGGGTTTACCCTTCCCTTTATATTTATGACAGAGCCCGCCCTGCAGCCTGAGCTGGAATGTCTACACCGTGAAGGTGGAAGGAAATACGTTGAATTTGAATTTTTTGAAAAGAGAGGTTTTATTGATTCTTGGGTCTCCAGTATCGATAATACACCGACCAGATTATATTCTTTGCCACACATCTAATTTAGCAAAGTCGCTCACCATGCAATTTGAAATCTGACTGCATGAAATACATATCATTACTAACAGTGAAAAAGAAAATTCATGGGACTATCCGCAAGAACATTTGTTGAAATGATAGAAGTTGGATTTTTTTCACAAAGTCATCCAATACGTTCTTCAGTGCAGTTATGTATTCATGGGGAAACGGCATTCCAAGTGGAACCTATCAAATCATCATCCTTATCTGGTCTCTTGGTGCATGATCATGATCTCAAGAGAAACTCGTCTCATGTTTCCAATAACAGATGGCAATGGATACCATTTCAACGTCATTCATTGCATGGTAGTTTATGTATGTTTACAATTCTAACAGAAATTCAAAACATGGCTCCTAGTAAGCCTTGAATTTTTATATGTGATGCTTCCCCATCACAAAGCTGCTTGGTTTTGTGGGTACAAAATTATTGCCAGACATATGACACTGCTTTTCATTTTGCTCTTCAACCTGAGGCATGTTTAGGGCTCCATTCATTGT